ATTAGGATGTTAAGGGCCTTTGCAGTTTCAGTAGTTTGCATTGCATTGCACTGCATTGCACTGCATTGCATTGCATTGCATTGCATTGCATTGCAGCAGCAGCAGCAGCTTCGAATTTAATGATGGGGCTTAGCATATAGATAGATGGAGATATGGCAACCCCAGGATCCATTCTCTGCCCAGGTGGCTGGACCATAATAATGGATCATATGTTCATGGGGCCATTTGTTAGCTTTGCAGTCAACAATCTGTAAGGTCTGTCAGTTTCTTTGGGTCTCCCAGTCCTCATATATCTGTATTTCCAAGCCCTTTCCTCTGGCAAATGGGAATAGGAAGAAGGAGGGCTGGATAGATCTTAAGATCTGAACCAGTTTTGGAGGAAGTGAAGCATAAGCAGTTCTCCCATAACCAATATAGTCTAACTGGGGCTTAATATTTGATGTTAGCACCGCAGTGCCCCATGCCTTCCAGAGGTGAGAGAAGTCAGATAAAAGGTGCAATCTGATTCTGAATAGTTTGGGGAGCCCTACTATGGAGTTTTCTGGGCACTTGCAGTGTAGAGTCTTTGGTTCAGACATGTTAGGCTTACAACAGAAACCATAGGGAAATGTATTTTTTCCCTATAACTCAGGTTTTAAGAAACCCAATTCTGGTAGTAGGCTTGGGAGTATCCTATTTTTATCATAAAGTTTGAGGGGACCAAATTGTCTAGCTTCACAAGGCTATTGATCTCCTCTATTAGTTCCTCCACATACATAGCAAGAAGAGACCCTAAGAGTCTGAACTGTTTTGTGCCAGGTTTAGAAACACATTTCTGGTTATGGTAAGTATTTGGTGGATGGGCTGCTATTTAGTTCCTCATAGAAGAACTGGAAGACTTGGTATGATATGGCTTTGTGGGTGACAGAAAGCTTTTTGAAGTGTAACATGCTCCCTGGTTCTGTGTCGAGAATAGTGAAATTAAGAGGGGTACAGGTCCCCAGTTAACAGTCTTGTGTTGCAGTTCCCTTTTGAAGAAGTACCATTTAGTCTGCCTTCTGCCAAATGGCCCAAATAATTCCTATCCAGGTAGGATGGTAGGTTTGGGGAGAGGGGATAATGATGTGGGATTCCCCTCTGTTTTCTGTGAATACCATTGGTTAATAAAGAAAGAAGGGCAGAGTTAGAGAGAAGCCCTGGAGCCCCACTGGAGACAGACGCCGAAACTACCCGGTAAGCCATAGCCACATGGCAATACACAGATTAATAGAAATGGCTTAAATTAAGATATAAGAGTTAGCCAATAGAAGCTAGAGCTAGTGGGCCAAGCAGTGATATAATTAATACAGTTTCTGTGTGGTTATTTAGGGGCCCCAAAGAACAAAGAGCAAAAGAGTAAGAGTAAAAAACAACCAGCTACAGGCCTGCTCTCCAGAGTGCTACTGCCAGTGGGGGGCATGCCTATTCTCCAACTGTGCCAACAAAGGGTGAGAGAGGGAGGGAGGTCATCTCCCCCTCACCCACTCTACCATATTCCAGATGAGGGCTGGGGTCTGATCTCCGTCAGGCATTCCCATGGCCTGATCATCTGTACCCCCATCAATGGGGGTCAGCTCTACAGTGCTGCCTGGACAAAGTGCAGGGCCTACCTTCCTGAGTGCTGCAGTCTGTGAGGGGCAGGATCAGCTCTCCCACTCTTGGACCCTGGGACCAGCTTTTCCCGCCTGGAGTAGGTAAGGTGCCTGGGGCAAGGGGTATCTCTCCCTCCTCATGCTACCATGGGATAGACCATAGGCTAGCTCTCCACTCACATGTCTTCAGGGTTGAATCACCTGCACCCCAGCTCTGCTGTGCTGTCCTGGCAAGGTGTAGAGCCTGTTCTGAGAGCTGCAGTGGGTGGGGGCAGGGCCAGTTCTCCCTAGTGCTTCAGCCAGTGAGGGGCAGGACCAACTCTGTGCAGCCCAATCCTCACTGCTTTCAGTGGTGACAGGAGCCAGGGACATAGCACAGACCACAGAGGCAGCAGGATCACAGACCCAGCCAGTTCCAAGCCAGACAAGGGCCTTAGGGACAGCCCAGGACCCCAGTGAAACCATGGCCCTGGTAGCAGCACAGGCTTCTCAGACCTACATGGCTCCAACAGAGGCTCAACCCCCCAACAGTGATCTGACCCTTGGTGGTGCCCAGGCCCTTGATGCGTCTGAGTGGCCCTTAGTGGCAATATGGGCCATGGATAGCAATACAGGTCCCTGCTGTGGTTGGACCATGGGCTCAGACAGGGTCCTCGGCAGGGGCCCAGGCCCAGATGTCACAGTGGCCCCAGGTGGCAGTGCAGGTCCCTCTGAACAGCATGGCCTGTGAACACCCGTATGGCCCAGGTGTAAGCCCAGATCCTGAGCATCCAAACAGGAATCTCAGACATCAGTGCAGACCCCGGCTGTGGCAGGGTCACTGACCCAGACTTGGTCACTGCTGCAGCTCGGGCCCATATGACACCCTGGGCCTGGGTTGCAGCACATGACACTCAGGTCAGTATGGGTTCAGCAGTGGTACAGCTCTCAGGCACCAAGAAGGCCACAGGGTGGGAGCCCAGATCCTGGGCATCAGTGTGGTGTTTGGTAGCAACACGGGTGACGGACATCAGCACAGACTCAGGCTGTGGTAGGACCACAGGCCAAGACATGGAGATCTCTCCTGGGTGGTGACAGAGAGGGAAAGCTGGCAGGCTGAACCAGACCAGCTACCAGCCAGACCCAGAATCAGGACAACAAGGTAGCCCACCCCACACCCACCTCATCTATGAGCCGCTAGAGCGCGTGACGGCACAGACCCAAAGCTGCAGGGTCTAAACAACACGGGGGGTGGGGGGGAGCAACACAGGATATCCAAGAGGGTCCTAGTCAGGGCTCAGTACCCACAGTGCAGCAGAAACCAGAGGCCCCGGACCAGACCAATGACTGCGTGCAACGAGCACTTTCAAGAAAAGGGCATATATGTATGGACTGAAGGGTGACCTGTGACACAGCGCAGCTTCCGCACCGAGGTTTGAGGGGTGTTTGATTTTTTTGTGATTTGGTTCGGGTTTTGATTTACTTTTAAACTTTATTTTGGCAGGGGAGATTGCAAGGGCAGAGGGCAGAAGCGAGGAGACAGGGGAATGAGTCATATTAGGATGTGTGATGTGAAATTCACAAAGAATCAAGAAAATGTTTTAGAACTAAATACAAATAAAAGCAAAATGTATGAAAAAACTGGAGATGGCATTAAAGATTCAAGACCCACTCCGTGTTGGTCAGTATCGTGTCTACCCTTTCAGCTCTCTGTGGTACCCATGAGACAGCCTGGGATCTTCCAAGATCACATGGTACAGAGGGGCACTGAACAGCAGAAGCTGGGTTTCCAGAGTTCCAAAGGCTGTAGCCCCCAGTGACTTCTCTAGACACACAAGGGGCCATGTTCTCCTATGCAAGGCTGGAATTCCTCAGCAGGGTCCTGATCAGAAGGGTTCCCCAAGCCCTCTGAACTCCTGCTGCAATCTGAAGCCACCATGCAAAAGGGGACATGCAAGAGGGGCACCTGCAGCTCAGGAGAGCAGGGCTGTAGCTCAGTGGAGTTCTGTCCTAAGGGCCTGAAATGCAGGGCCACTTGAGAGACAGGATAGAAACACCTGCATTACCAAGGAGGCTTCGGGACAAAGCTGTATGTTCACACAATTTCCAAAACAAACATGGTTAACATTTTAAAAACCAAATCATGCCCTTTGCTCTCTGCTTGGCAGGAAAATGAGAAGTGACAGACGGAACTGATAAGATGAAATAAGAAAGGGATCATTTCTTCCTCCCCTCCCTCCCTTCCTCCCTTCCCTCTTTCTTTCTTTCTTTCTTTCTCTCTCTCTTTATTTCTTCCTTTTTTTGAGACAAAATGCCCCAGGCAGAGCTAAAACTCAGTCTGAAATGAAGAATGACATGGACATCACAGACCACAGCTGCAGCAGCGTCGTTTACCCAGACATGGCCCCTGACACCCAAAGAAACCATGGCCCTGGGTGGCAGCACAGGTTCCCAATCTCATGGCCCCAGCAGAGACTTAACCCTCGGACAGTAACATGGCCCTAAGTGGTAGCTCAGTCCCCTGATGTCTGAGTGGCCCTTAGTGGCAATGCGGGCCATGGATATCAATACAGATCCCGGCTTGATTGGACCATGAACTCAGACAAGGTCCTTGGCAGCAGTCCAGGCCCAGATGACAGTGCAGGTCCATCTGATCAGCATGGACCCAGCAGCAGTGTGCCTATTAAACACCTACATGACCCCAGGTGGGGTTACGGAGCATGGCATCTGCACAGCCTTTGATGGCAACAGGAAAGTTGAACATCAGTGCAGACCCCGGCTGTGGCAGGGCCACTGACCTAGACACGGCCAAGGCCACAGTTTGGGCCTGTATGATGCCCTGGCTCTGGGTGGCATTTGTGTCTCACTCAGGTCAGTATGGGACCAGCAGTGGCACAGCTCTCAGGCACCAAGAAGGCCTCAGGATGGGAGCCCAGATCCTGGGCATCAGTGTGGTGTTTGGTGGCAACACGGGTCATGGGCATCAGCATAGACTGAGACTGTGGTAGGACCACAGGCCAAGACTTGGTTCTTGGCAACAGCCTGGGCTCAGATGTCATCCTGGCCCTAGTTGGCATCGCAGATCATCAAGATTGGCATAGCCTCAGTGATGACATAGTCCCCAAAGACCAACATGTGCCCAGGTGGCAGTCCAGACCCCAGACATCAGCTCAGCCTTTGATTGTAACAGGAGCTATGGACATCGATACAGATCTTGGCTGTGGAAGGGCCACAATTTTTTTTTTCGTTTTCTCTCTCTCTCTCTCTCTCTTTTTTTTTTTGACACCATTCAGTGTACAGCTGTCACACAGAGTCAGCATGAAGGGACACAAGTAGTACACTGGGTGTTTTGTTTTCTGATTTTTTAAAGTCATGTTCAGTTTATCAGGAACATAAAATAGATTTTCAGCCTTACTCTATTTCTGAAATCGAGAGAATTACACAATTTGAAAATACACCTTATGGAGTGTCAGCTTCCGCTCTGAGGAGGAAGGATAATATACCTCCTGGACTGGGGGTAGGACACAAAAGAGAGGGAAGCCCCTCTGCTGGTGGGATGGAGTGGATCCCAGCATTCTTTTTGAAGCGCAGATCTCTGGCAGAACCATTCCTAGGTGCCCTGGGTGCTTCATACTGTAGGAGCATTGGGAACAGAAAGCTAGACTTTTGCTACCTGCTTCCCATGAATTCCTTGAATAGTCTCTTAGGAAGTTTCTGTCAGAGTCCAAAGTTAGACCCAGATTCCCAGGATGGGCAGAATTAGCTCAGTTTTGGGAGAAAAACTGGTTCTTCCTAGGGACTTGTTCTCTCCTCCTTCGGCATTTGCGGTCTGACAAGTTAGGAGTGGGGGGTGTGGGCAGCATGATAGCGGGACAGACATGCATGGGTGGGTCAGGCCAAACCTACCGCACTACTTGGGAAATGCCTGCAATCTGCAGGGCACACCGATGCGCCGCTGACCCAGTGTTGCCATTTTGTGCAAAGAGACCTTGTCATTGTGTTTAAATAACAGTTCCTTGATAGCTTATACAGTCATCGTGACATTCCTGAAATTCCTGAAAACAAATGGGGACAAATGCGTGGAGAAGTCATCTCTTTATTGAAAATACAGATGCTGAGGGGGTACGAGTGTGAGTGTTAGCGGCAGCAAAAGCTTCTGAGCATCTGGCTCCTGGGTGAGGGCACTTCAGCACCTCTACACACTTCTGATCTCTCTTGTATTGTTCTCGCCTCCCCTTAAACCAATTCTACAAGCCAGAAGGAAAAAAAATCTGGTTCAGTAGGATAATCAGTATATAATCAGAAAACACCATGGGGCGTTAGCTGCCCCTATATTTTATACTGCACAGAAGAACCTGCTGTCTCACTGCCCTAATTCTCTGAGGGCCTGAGGGGCTGGCACAAGGTCCAGTGCTTGACTAGAATGTGGGAGGCCCTGGTTTCCACTCCAGCACTGCAAAATAGTACCTGGACAATTGTCCAGATGTGGCATGTCTTTCCCCGTCTCTACAGTAATCCACTCTGGAGGATGTGAGCAGCATTTTCAGGCAGATGCACCACTGTGCTTCAGACAGTCAGAATGCTGGGTGCCCTAATCTGTGTGGCTTTACCAGGCTCTTCAAACAGCAGGAGGAGGACAGGGCATTTGGACTCTATGCTTCCCCCATTCCCATCAGTCTCTGTTTAACCAATTTACATCAGCATTATGAAGAGTGCAGGGTTCACCCTGTGAACTATCTTCACACCCAGGTTACCCCTATAAGGACAGAATTTTTGTTTAGTTTTCAGTATTTCAAACAGTTTAGGATCATGGAACTCCTGATCCCATTTAAATTAATTCAAAGTAAATTTGAATTAATTTGAATAATTTATAATTATAACCCTAGTGGGATGTCTTTACAGAGACATTCTATCTGAAGGATATTAGCATTACAAGGACTTACACACAACATTTCTATATTAATATGCTATTAATAGAATAATTAACTCAGAAATTGTATTCATGTTTATATGTTAAAACACACATATTCGTAATTTATCTATAGGATACATGTATGTGTCATATATATATGTCTAGGGAGTGAAAGGAGGTTAGTACTATTCTGTGTTCCCTTTGGAAGTTGTGCTTAATCTTGAAATGAGCCATTTTTAGTTGGTTGGATTTTCTTATCCCATTTTATGCCCCAGAGGACATAAAACTAAAAGTCATTTTAAGGGGCCTGTAGGGATGTCTAAGAGTTAAAAACGCTTCCTGCTCCTATAAAGGACCTGAGTTTGGTTCCTATCACCTATATAAGGTAGCTCAGGACCACATGTAATTCAAGCTCCAGGGGATTTGACCCTCTCTTCTGGCCTCTGAGGGTACCTGCATATAGACGCAGACACATCTATACACATGAATTGTTAAAATATCTTTTAAAAACATGTTATTTTGAAATATAATGTGGTAAAAAAAACATGACACAACAACTCTCCCCACAGGACGAAAGTATTCAAGATAAGAAGCAAATTCTAGAATAGCTGTCTTGCCAAATTGTCTTCTCCTTACCTGAATTCTAGTTTCAGTCACGCCTATCCATCTTGCCAGCTGTTTTCTGAGGGGAAAAATGACAGATGTTCATTACTGGGCATCTTGGATAAAATAAAGTATATGAAAGATACTTTGTATATATTTTTAAATGTTTGTCGCATCCTTCACCTACTGGGACATTCACCTTGAAGATTTTGAGATTTTAAAAAATTCTACTGGTGCTGGGTGGTGGTGGTGCATGCCTTTAATCCCAGCACTTGGGAGGCTGAGGGAGGCGGATCTCTGTGAGTTTGAGGTCTACAGAGGGAGTTCCAGGACAGCCTGGCCTACACAGAAAAACCCTGTCTCAAAAAACAAATAAACCAAATCTGCTGGTAATTTTGTTTTATTATCACCCACCATTAGCAGACATTAAAACACACCATGTCCCCAATAAGAATTTTGAAAAAAAAAAACACTAATCTGGACAGCATAAACCTCCAAAGAAATGCTCCTAACATCAACTGAGGTGGTTCACAAGACTTTCTCAAATAATAATAATAATAATAATAATAATAATAATAATAATAAAGCAGCTACAAAACAAACACAAATAGGAAAAACCTATGTGAGGCATTTTGTCCGGATTGAAGGGTGAGCACGAATAAAGGAAGACAGATTAATGGGGGAGGGGGCACATCTGAAGACTTCTAATGTCCAATTAACTCATCAGGATGTCCAGCCTGCTGACCACCAGGGAAACGAAATATCACGTTTATTTGTTCAATTTATTTAGTGTGCATCAATGCATGCATTCTGTAGGTGTAGGGGTGTGTCTACCCGTGCTCTGATGCACCTGTGCAGGTCAAAGGGCAACTGAAGGGTGTTGGGTCTCTCCTTCCACCAAGAAAGTCATCCTTTGTTATTTTAACCATTCAACTTTTCACACATCTTTCAACAGGACCTTACTCATTACTCATTACTTCATTGCCCCAAGTTTTCTACTCTGATCCACTGAAATAATGTAAGAAGATACTTCCATTCCCATTGTCTTAGTTAGGGCTACTATTGCCGTGAGGAAAACAACATGACCAAAAGCAAATTGAGGAGGAAAGTGTTTCTTTGGCTTCCACTTCCAGATCATCATTGGAGGAAGTCAGTACAGGAAGTCAAGTAGGACAAGAACTTAAGAGACGGGAGTTGATGCAGAGGCCACGGAGAGGAGCTGCTTACCGGCTTTCTCCTTATGGAGCCCAGAATGACTGACCAGTGGAGGGATGGCCCTACCCACATGGTCTGGGCCCTCTCACATTAATCACCAATTAAGAAAATACCCTTCAGGCTGGTCTACATCCTGATCTTAGGGAGGCATTTTTTGAGGTTCCCATCTCTCTGATGCCTCTAGCTTGTGTCAAATTCGCAGAAAACTAGCCAGCAGGCCCATTTTGCAGGACTCTCACCACTACCCCCAGCACACTGGTGCAGGAAGCAGGAGTCTGGCAGCCTTGCTTTGGGAGGGGGATTTCATTTACATAGGGTAAGAGATGGGCTGAGGAGATAGTACAGAAGCTAAAGGCAACTGCCAGCAAGCCCGAAGGCCTGAGGGTGATCCTGGGTCTCTGTGGTGGAAGGAGACAAGGGACTAACTCTATTGTATTCTGCCCTTCACACCATCAAATGACACTAACACCCACAGAAGAGCATTCCCACACCCACAAATAAAACCAAGCAAAGGAATGAATTAGCAACACGCAGATTTGAAGGAGTGGTAAAGGAGGAGGATCAGGAAGAGAGCCAAAAGTCACCCTGGGCCACCACGTGCTCCCAGGAAACAGGGTTTCAGGCTACGCTATCTGCTTACCTTAGTTCTGCGCTGATGTAGTGATTTTGCTGGAAAAATCGCTCCAGCTCCTGCAACTGCCACTGGTTGAACTTGTACTGGAAGCCACGTTGGCGCACCAGCACAGACACAGGTTGTGCACATTCTGCAACCTCCATGTCCCTGGGGACTGGCTCTTTTGGCTGCTTCTCATTCTCCTGGTCACTGCGGCTGGTGCCATGGTCCTCTTGTTTCAAGTTATCCATGAGGCCTGAGGCACCAGCAGCTGAGGGCCCTTCTCCACTGAATTCTTCTGCTTCTTCCCCTTCGGCTGCGGCTGCTCCTGCCTGGCCCTGACCACTGTCATTTTCCATCCTTCCCTCTCCAGTCAGAAAGATCTGTGTCTTTACACCTGGAAGTAGAGAGACAGAGAAAGGCCAGGAGTTAAAGCCCAGGGTGACCCGAGGGCGCCGTGAAGTCGCAGCGAAGCCAGCAGCACACAGCGCCTGTCTAGTCGTCTCGGTGGGACACTCCTCCCCTCGTGGACATCTCTGATTCACCTTTCCCAGCACACACTTACCATTCCGTTTTTCTTCATCCTTATCAAGTCCTTCATAAAGCAGGTAGCTGGTGTCTCGGCGCTCCATGCCTTGAATGTTCACTAGCAGCTTGCCTCAGGAGGTTCTGGGTTGGAGCTCTTGCAGTTACAAAAGCCCGAAAACCCAAAAGCCTCTCAACCAGGAAGAGTTCTCTTTTGGCCCTGGGGGCTGGTAGTACAGGTTACCAACTATCCAATCATGAGCTTGCTATCCTGGCTTCCATTTGACCTCTGGCTGCTACAGGTTGAGCCCCTAAAGCGCAAAACAGAGCCCTTTGGTATGGCAATGAGCAGAATACATTTGACTGGAAGGCACGGTCCTTGGGTTTGTAGGGATGCGGACAATACTCTCCAAGTCGCTGCTGAGCCTTGGTGAGTTATCTTCCTAGGGAAGGCGTGATAGTCATCTGTGCCAACAGATTTATATTGAAGAAGAAAAGCTCTGGAGGCTCTGGAGAGATGTTTGTAGACTATCACTTAGTTAGTTGGGGCTGCTTTTTCACAGCCTTAATCACTGTGCTCTGAACAGAAGAAAGTGGATTTCTGCGAGTTCCAAGCCAGTCTGGTTTACATAGTGATTTCCCAGCCAGTCAGAACCACAGTGAGACAATTTCTTCTCAGGGCCTAGTAGTTTACCTGTTACTTGATAAAGAACAGAAATTAAAGATTATCCCATGAGGTCTTTTCCTTTGGGTTTTCATAGAAAGCGAATTTAGAGTCTGTCGTATTTGCATTGTCTGCCTTTACAGGAGCTGGGGCGTGGATTGGGGTTTAGTAGGACCTTTAAGCCTTTTAAAGTGCTGTTAAGTACTGTTGAACCTGTGAGAATTGTCACACCTGGGCTGAGGTTCCTCGGTTTTCTCTTGAATGCATTTCTGTGAATGGTCAAAAGTCAAGAACAGACTTTTATGCCTGGTTTCCATCCCAGAGTCAAGCAGCCCCTTCTCTGGCATGTGTGGTCAGACTGGTCCCAAGACAGCCAGCTTTTCCCAGCATGTTCTGGTCAGTCTGAGAGTAGAAAGAGCCTCAGACAATTATGATATCTCCAGGAAGTTCCTTTTGTAGGGTGCCTGAGTAGGAATTCTTCTCCCACCAAAAGATTTACCTCAGAATTCCAGAACTAAGTCTATGGATGTATGTTTCCTGCCCTTTACTCTTTGCTATGTAGCCCGAAGCTGCTGTTGTCAAGGTACACAGAGCCTGGGAATTTTTTTCTCTCTAATTCTGGTCAAGATTGCAAAGATAACCACATCCGTGTTGAGCATATAGCTTACTGCATAGAGCCTAGCCTAGCACACACACCACTACAGCTATTTCCAGCACTGTATAAGCCAGCACGGAGTCTCCGTTTGTGATGCCTGTAATCTTAGCTCTCAGGAGGTAGAGGCATAAAGTTTAGAACTTCACCTTCAGCTACAGAATTTGTTTGAACCGAGCTAGGGACACATGCAGTTTTTTTTTTTTTAAAAAAAGCAAACTCCATCTCCTCCCCCAAATTCCAATATTGCCCTTTTAAATAAGGTAGTGGGTGATGGGCCTGATTTAGTTTTTAAATTCACTGATATATGCTTCTTGTCTTAATATGTGATTTATCCCGAAAAGTGTTCCTAGTATATTTTTAGCCGGGCGGTGGTGGCGCACGCCTGTAATCCCAGCACTCGGGAGGCAGAGGCAGGTGGATCTCTGTGAGTTCAAGACCAGCCTGGTCTACAAGAGCTAGTTCCAGGACAGGCTCCAAAACCACAGAGAAACCTTGTCTCGAAAAAACCAAAAAAAAAAAAAGTGTATTTTACTGCTTGTGGTTCTAATGCACGTAGGAGTTTTAGCTGGGTAGGACTACTGGTTGCTTTCCCCCCTTGGCAGCTTACACAGCACCTTTGGAGACTACGAAAGCCAGTCTTTGTGGAGGGGCTTTCATGTCAGTTCCAGTGGTATTCTGCACGTCCTGCGTGTGAAGTGTTACGTTTCCAGCAATACGGACTCACCGTTGCTTCTCTAAGGCCACTGAAAGCAGCAGCATTAGCCTGACAACTTTCAGGTTTTCTCACTCTCTCCAACTTGAAATGGGGCTTCTCATGCCTGCTATTGGGGGTTTTGTTATATAGTTTATACCTCTTGGGGGGAGCACTGTCAACCCAAGTGGGATAACTGAGCTTAGAGAATATATTTTTCCTAAGCTAGTCTAAGTGCTCTTGCACATGCATATGCACACACACACTTACATATCCTAAGCATGTATATGTGTTTATACACATAGACTTAGATGTATTATGTGTAATTTTAGGTAAACAATTCCTTATTTTTTTCAGACATCCTTAGTGCTGTTTTACCCTCTCTCTCTTTCTTTAATGACCTCCCTCTCCACTCTGCAATTAAAGGTCACATTTTCCCATTTCTCTCCTTTGTGTACTGCTGTTCTCTAGTGCTATCCGCTCCCTCCCCCTGGTACCTTTTTGCTATGCTGGTTCCTGCGGCTACTCCAGGATACGTACTGCCATCCGAAGATTTGGATCTTGGAGCTTCACATGAGGGAGACCACTCTTCATTTGTCTTTCTGGGTCTGGCTTATCTCGCACAATATATTTCCTAGCTTCATCCACTGCAGATTTAATAACTTCATCATTTTTACAGACAAGTACTGTGGTATAGCGTGTCTGTACTACATTTTCACAATCCATTCATCACTTGAAGGACATTTAGGTTGTTCCCATTTCCAAACTATTATGAACAGGGCCGCAGTGAACATGCCTGAGCTCGTCTCTGTGGAATAGGATGTTTTGGCCATATGCCAAGGAGTGGTATCGCTGGGTCCTCTAGTAGATTTAATTTTAGCTTTTCTAGACTTCTCCACACTGATTTTCAGAGCGGCAACGGCACTTTTTTTTCACCTATGGTGAGCAAGGCTTCCCTTTCCCATATCACAGCCAGCATTTGCTGACAGTTTAGCCATTCTCACTGGGGGATGTTATTTTCAAAGTGGTTTTCATTTGAATTTTTTTAATTGCTGAGGATATTGAACACTTTTTGAGATTTTCTTTAATTATTTCTTATTCTGAGAGCCCCTTGTCCAGATCCATAGTCCATTTTTTTTTAACTTTGGGTCATTTCTTTTCTTGAGTTTAGTGGTGTTATTATTTGTGTGAGTGCTCTGGACATTGTGGATATGAGTTGTTTGTCTGATGTACTGCTGACAAAGATTCTTATTCACTTTCAAGGCTTCCAAGCCAGTCCGAATCAAAATTCCCACATCCCTTACAGACTTAGAAAAAAATCTTGATTATTTCTTTTGCTGTAAGAAGGCTTTCATTTTATGAGTTTCCATTTGTCAATTGTTGATCTTAATTCCTGAGCAAATGAAATCCTATCCAGAATGTCCTTTCCTATGCTTATCTCTTGTGGGGTAATGCCTATGTTTTTCCCCCAGTAATTCCAGCATTTCAGGTTTCATTCTGGGGCCTTTAGTCACTTAGTCCATTTGGCATTAATTTTTGTTCTATTTACATGTATGTTTGTTTTTGGTGTATATGCAAGGCTACCGGCTTGAAGTAATTTTTTTTTGAGACAGAGTTTCACCTTGTAGCCCTTGAATTCACTATGTAGACTAGGCTGGCCTCAAAATCACAGAGATCCCCCTGCCTCTGCCTTCTGAGTGCTGGGATTAAAGGAGTGAGCCATTACCATTTGGCCTAGTTTTGTGATTTGATTTTGTTTCCTGCCACTTTGTTGATCTTTTTTATATATGCCTGTATTTGGCTTGCCAGCACTTTTTCTTTGTTCCCATAAAAAGTTCAGGCAATACAGTAGCAGTAGCCATCTCTAAATCCAGTTCTGGTGAAATTCGGTGTGGGGTGGAGGTACAAAGCCCCTAGGGATAACTGGCTGAACTGGGGAGCTCCAGGTTCAGGGAGAGACTTTGTCTCAAAAAAATAAGGCAGAGAACCAGGCAGTGGTGATACATGCCTATAATCCCAGCACTTGGGAGGCAGAGGCAGGCAGATCTCTATGAGCTCACTACAAAGTGAGTTCCAGGACAGCTAGGGCTGTTACACAGAGAAACCTGGTTTCAAACCCCTCACCTCCCTGCAAAAAGCTAGAGAACAATTGAGAAAGACACCTGACATAGACATCTGGTTTTCATATGCACAAGCACACGTGCACACACACCCTTCATGCACATCACTAGAAAGAAAAACCAATAATGTTATTTGGAGGTAAGATACTAGCTTCCATTTTGATCTCAGTTTATATGATTTTGAAGTGATCTTTGATTCACTAAAGTCTTTGGCCTGGAATTGAATTTTATCTCTTATCAAGGTCATGGGAAATTTCTTTGGATTTTACTTGTCTATCTGTATATTTTTCTAGATTTTGCTTTTAAAATGCTTTTATTTTATGTATGTGGGGGTTTTGCCTGAATGAATATCTGTCCACCAAGTGCATGTAGTACCTGAGCAGTCCAAAAGAGGGTGCTGGATCCCCTGGGACTGGAGTCACAGAAGGTTGTGAGCTACCGTGTGCTTAGAGGGCACGAGTGAGTGGGTCTCTGATTCTTTTCATGTCTTTTCTTTAACTTTTATTGATTCTTCATGGATTTCACACCACACACTAAAATTCCACTTATCTTGCACCCTTATCCTCACATCTACCCTCTGCCCTTGCAACCTCCTCCCAAAACCAAACCAAATTTAAAAGAAAAAACCAAACCAAACCAAACCAAACAAAATGAAACAAAAAAGGAGAATAATCTTGTAATGGAAGCTGTAGTGTGGCCTGTTGAGTCACATGTAAACAGAGACTGCACTTTCATTTCCTGGTTGCCCAGACTCAAATAATCACACAGAAACTATATTAATAACAGCACTTTTTGGTGGATGGCTCAGACACATTTCTAGCTAGCTCTTACATCTTAAATTAACCCATTTCTATTTGTTTATGTATTGCCATGTGGCTGTGGTATTACCTCATTTTTTACATGTCTTGTTTCCTTGGTGGCTGGCTGGCATATGCTTGACTCCGCCTACTCTCTCTTTATATATATCTCTATTCTGC